ATTTAATTACAATTTTTGTGATGTAAAAGGAATTATTTTCCAGGCAAAGTGATAAATAGAATATTTTCTTATCTTTATAGTGACTGTATTCACTGATGTAATGTCTTTCATGAGATGATGCCAAATGCTTTAAAGTAAGGCTCCCTAAAAGAAGCAGCAGACTTCAGATTGAAAAGCCGTTCCAAAAATGATCCCAGACCATAAGCAGTGACATAGTAGTAAAGCCTGTTGCATGAATACAGAAGCTATTTTTCTACTTTCACTAAGCAAGCTGTGTATTTTGAAAGTGGGTGGAATAATGCAGACCAGGTTTACACCCGACTTATGTTGAAAAATATTAAAAAACAACACGTGTAAAATCAATGTTGTCACCTATCCTGAGGTGGTGACGTGGATCATGTTATCCTAACTACTTCTATGGCAGCAGGCTGAGATCTTTAACAAAAGCGAAGTTGTACTTACGAGGATTAGGAGGGAACTGGAAATAGGATGAAGTATCCAACAACAAGCCAGTGTTTTTCACTGACTCTCCGTAATAAAAATACATATATGATAGTAAAACAAACTGTGTACTATAATAATAATCCACACTATCACAAACTAGTATAGCTCTCCTGTAATCTGACCTCCTAAAAGAACTTTTAAATTTAAGACAGTTCTTTGGCTGTATGTTTTATCGAACATATACACAAAACATTTTTCATAATTACACACTCCTGAATGTAGTTATATAAATTGTCAATGTTCTTTTGCTTCTGAAAAGTGAGTTGCAAACCAAAATCCCTGAAGCCTTTTTGCCTGTATATGGATATTTCATATTAAGATGCTGTGCTGAATTTGAATCCTGGCAGAAGTTTAAGTATTAGACTATGCTATACTTGCATGTCAGGTTTTTCATGTTCTGACATACAGTGGAGTCCTTCTGGGCTTCCAGTCATCCATATTGTATGTATGTACTTCATATTTCCCATCACCTGTGATGGAGGTGGTAAAATTCTCATGATCTTCCTGTTCTCTGCTTTTCTTCCTAGCCATGCTATGGCACGTTGATATCTGCCAGCACAATACCCCTTCTTTCTTTTAATGTCAGTAGGCCAGAATTAGTTATGCCTCTTGATACTGGCTCATTGTAGTGGAGAGAAGACAGAAGTGTCTCCGTATTTGGTAGCTTTTCCTGGAATGTGAGGATGTTGCAGAAAAGAAGTATAGTTCATCAGGTGCAGCATTCCTGATTGGACAAATTACACTATCTTTGAGACATAGTGTCATCCACCTCCATGCTTGCTATCTGTTGAAAAGAATATTGGGAAAATTAACTGGAAATGCTTCATAGTCTGTTTCATATAGAAAATTTCCACAAACTCCAGAAGATCTGTGCAGCATAAAAATTAACAATAATTGAAACAATGAAATCATAAATTCATATGCTCTGTAAAGAGTACCAGTCAGTATTTTTCTTCCAAATTAAATTGCAGCATGAGATGAGAAGTTCTGCTTGAAGTCTGTCTTCTGCTGTTGTAAAATATTGTGTTCCTGGGGGTTATCTGTACCTTACTATATTGGAAAATACACTATTAGAAGAGCAATGTCCTTGGTCTTCATTAGCTTCAGGACGGTAGGAGCTACAATGGAATTTGGTCTGTTAATCATTTATTTATTTCCTGTTGTGAGTCTCAAGTGGTATTTTATTATTTAGCATACATGTACAAAATGCAGTATTCTCTAGAAGTTTGTACATCTACATCAAGAAGGGAATGAAGTGGAAAGTTTTCAGAATGTTTACAGAAGTTGTTCTGTGAAATGCAGCTGGACATCTTGTTCTCAACGTTTTTGTAGAATAGCACTCAATGACAAACAATCAACTTTGTTTTCAGCCTGTAGCATCTTGGCAGTCAAGTAAAATTAAATGAACTTTTAAAATGCTATTCTAAATTGTGGCTATATGAAGAGTGGTGGAACAGAGCTTGCAATAAGTAGAATCCCCATCTACTTGTATTTTTGCTTAACCATTTTGGTTGCATGATATTGTTAAGGACATTTTTTCAAAAGATGAAAATGACATGTGTACTAGCTATAAAGCAAAGAAAAGGACATAATCCACTCATAGTTTTTTTTCTGAAAAGTGCAGGTTTACATTTGCGCATTTTGTTTGTAATTAGAGTACAAGCCTCAGCTCTGTACAGATCATAGCACAGCATTAGTTTTTCCCCTTGTGAGTAGTCATAAAGCATGTAATGTTTCTCAGGGTTAGCACCAGCAAAAAAAAACACAACATGTAATAAACACTATGCGTGGGTCTATTTGTAAGAACATCTAATATTTGTGAATACACCAGTTACTGAAATTAATTATCATCTCTCCTCCTTAACTAGCAAGGTATGCTAGACACCACTGAGAATCGTTCATTATAGTTTTCACCAAAATTTTATTTCCTTAACATTTGGGATAAGTTAACGTAATATGTTAACTGTCTAATCTAATACCTCCTAGTTAGGCTTGGATGTTGGATGAATTCTAGGGTTTCAAAAAGAATTTTTGAATTCTTTTTGTGTGCTGGATTGCAGCCAGTGTTCATGAAGTGGAAATAAACAAGCATTGTTTTCTGATATACAAGCATTTTTTAATACAAGTATTTTTTTATTCCACAGCAACAGTATCTACCTTTCTTTTTTTTTTTTTCTTTTAATGAGGATTCCACTTGATATCTGCTTGTGATTCAATATTTTTTAAGTATTAATGTATTTACAGTATTGCACTTTTATTCTCTTTTAGTTAAGTAACCTTTGCTTAACTGAGTAATATTTTGGGCTGTGTTTTCTAGAACAACATTAACTTACGTGTCTTTCTTGAGATGCCATTTTCTGCATTTCTTGATGTGTCTCTGGCACTTAAGCAATTTGCTTTTTTTTTTTCATCAGGAAAAAAAGGTTTCTTTCTACAAACGGGCACAAATACTTGTGGCTGATACATGGAGTGTATTGGAAGGCAAGGGAGATGGCTTTTTTGGTGACATTTCTAGTCTGACTATATTTGCTGACTACAGAATTCCTCAAGTTCTTGTTCACTTAAAAGCAATGAAGTATTCCGAAGAGCTAATGAAGAAACTACGGGAAGGTTTGTTCCTTTCTAATGTCAAGTAATCATGTTTTGATAGAGTAAGATAAAAGCTGATTTTAAGATGCCGCATTTGTTCTCTGTGAGGATCATGTATATATATATATATACACACATATATATATATTATATATATTATATATATTTATATGTTTTTTCCCTCCAAGAAACTGATACTTTTGTAGTGGTTAGGTAACAGAAAGGAATTCTTTCTCTAATAGTGATTTCAAATTAAATGTTAAGGTTACTTTTTATGAAGATCTAACTCCCTTGGATTAAGCACAGAATTAAAGAGACTCCAAGCAGTTGATCTCCAAGTTTTAAAACAACCACTGTTGCCAGAGTCACTTTCCAACATGAGTATCATTGTGATTTTGAGGTTTAGATAATAAGAGAAGCAGCGATTTCTTTATGAAGTTCGAAGAACATATAACAGCAGGGGGATTCTTGTTTATCTGTACGAAACAACAGCTGCTGTTTATATGAGGGACAAGCAAGGTAATACTATAAACGTCCACTTAAAAAAAAATACATGCCATTGCTTTTAAGGAATATAATTGTATAGGACAGGTTACATCTTCCAGTACTTAGTAACTAGAAATTTGAACAAATGAAAACAGAAGCCAATCCTTTCTCCACTGCAAAATGAGTGTATTTATAAGTAGGACTGCCATTATGCCATTTTAAAATTACACAGCAAGATAAACAAATTAATGCAATAGCCCATGAATCTTAATAAACTGGTCACATACATATATGTGTGCATATGTATGCATATTAATGTGTGTGTTTATATATCATGTGTGTCTGTGTATAGAGAGAGAGATACAGGATCTGTTTGAACAGCCAAGATGGAAATGTCCTTATGAGGATGCATGGAAAAGATAAATTGTCTATGCGGTCTGTTTAATTTTTGATCCTTGTAAAGAGTAGAATTATCCTTGCAGAACGTACACACGTTTGGAATTATGTTAATGTATCCTCTACAAACAAAATCGTCATATAATGTGCAGTGTAACCCAGAGTCTTGTTCTGCTTTTAAACTCAGTCTCTTAGAATACAGGATGGCTTTTCAATTGAATGGAAGGCAAACTTAAAAATATGGTAATGTTAAAGTGAGCAATAGAAAATGTACAGTAACACAGTAGTTACACTTTAATTCATGAAAGCTGCAGTCCCAGAATAGAATAAACGTGAAATAAAAAGAGAAAATTCAGGACATCCTGGGACTGCTGCCTCCCGAACATAATTGCATTGCTGTCTCTTGTGTCCAGCAGGAACCATTTTCCAGTCTGGAGATAAAGAGGAGGTGGAGATCCGCGGTTGTTCAATTTGGTGTTGTGCACTGATCTGTAAGCACCTGCTGGAGCTCTACGAGAAGAAGGGTCAAGACATGCGCGATCAGATCAACGCGGTTTTACTCGATTACTACCTTTGGGACTATGCCAGGGATCACAGGGAAGAGATGAAAGATATTCCATTTCATCGCGTACGGTGTATATATTATTGAGTCCCGTCTGGTATCTGTTACAGCTACTTTTTTAATGCAGTGGTTTCTCATGTAGTAACCTGGAGCTTGCTGAATCAAGCAAACGCTCACTTTCTGATGTTACATTACTGACTTATGTTCTTATGTTTGTTTTTTTTTGTTTATTTTTGTTTTTCTGGATCTTTCTCTAGCTGTGCCTGGAGCTAATAGTGTAAAATCATGCTGGAAAAGTTGTATGAATACAGGTTTTGCTACTTGAGCTCTGTTGGTATTGTGTCTACAGATGTGTCTGTGTGTGGACGTGTGCCTGGACACTCCAGGCGGCTGCTGGGCCAGCAGCTGCGAGCAGTTGTGAGCGTGGCTCGCCTGCTTGGAGACCGCTTGTGTTTCAGGCAAAACTCAGCCTTTACCGCTGAGCTGCACCGGAGCCGTAAGGAGACGCTCTCCTCCACGACGAGCGCGGCGATGGAAGCCGCATTTCGCACCCCTGCTTTGACCACAAGCAGACGGCCCCCTCGGCCCTCCCCAGGACTCGAGGGCGAGCTGTGCGCGTCCCTGGGGGCCGGGGGCTGCCCCCCGCTGCCCCCCGTTGTCCCCTCACACCCACCCCTCAACCCCCGCTCCGCCCGCGCCCTCCTGCCGCGGGGGGCCGCTGTGCGCGGCGGGGCGGCGCCGCCGAAGGTTGCGGCCGTTGCCTAGCGAGGCGCTGTCAACAGCAGCGCGGGCGGCCCAGGCGCGGCCCGCCGGCCCCTCAGCCCGCCCGGAGGCTGCCTCACGACGCCCGGAGCAGGTTTGGAGCGGGGAGCGACGGGGCCGGGGCCGGGGCCGGGGCTGGGGGGGAGCCGCCCCACAGCGCCGCTGAGCCGGCATTTTGCTTGGTGTGTGTTGTTTGAGGAAATAGTAAACGGGATCTCTCCCCTCCTCTGCCCCTCCCCGCGACTTGTTTCGTTGTTTCGGTGTAATTTTGGGAGGGGAGGGGGGTGGGGAGTCTGTAAGTTTTCAGTATCTGCTCGTGATTGCCGTGCCCCTTCTGAAACGAGCAGGATTTCAGGCTCTTGTTTCTCTTCCTTGGCTTCCCTCTGCTCGGTTCTGTAAAACAAGGCTTTTTGTCAGCTTCCAGAGTTTCTCAGCTCTGCATGGACAAGCCCTCAATGCAAATGGGTGTAAGTGAAATGCCAAAACTCTTCTCTTTGCAACCACAGAAGACTTGTGTTTCAATCTGGTTGCATTTTCATGAAGGCTGAATTTGATGTGCTTAGCTGGTGAGTTCTGCCAGTTGGGTAACAGAGCCAAAAGGCTGCGTGGGAGTTCAGCAAGAAGGAAGTTCAGCAAACTTTCCTTTGCATGGCAAAGCCTCCTTGAATGAGAATCAGCAAGAGCAGAAGATGTGTTTGGGGTCCGGCAGCATTTGATACCCATAGGGGCTTTTGAGTGTTTCTGATAGACATTTGTAAAGAAATACTATTCAATGCTTCTTCTTGTGCTTCAGAATTAATCCATGGGGGGCAGGATAAGGAACCATGGTTGCTGAAATATATAACTAATAAAAAATAGTTACATATGGGCATAAACAGACGGAATAAAATCAGAGGAATGCTTGGTGTGTAGTAATCATAAATATTTAAAATCATACCCACCATGTAAGCAACACAACAGCTTTCTGAACTTATAAATACTTGGCCCTTGTAAGCAGAAGATGGCTTTAAAGCACGTGTGTGTGTATAGGTATAAATTCAGGATAAAAAGTTTTTTTTTGAATAATTTCTGTTGCCTATGCATCAGTACTGTAGCAGTGAGAAAATAAGGTTCATTGTAAGTATATGCTTTATCAACAGTTCATTAACAAGATCTTACGATATTGTTGCTTCATATGGCAGTATAATGTCCAAACAGAAAGTCTGACCACTTTCAGACCAAAGGTTAAGTCTGCTAGCTTAGAAGGTAATAGAAGCAAAATTAGTTTATGCACTGGTTTCACAGTTGTTAACATATCTGCTTTTTTATCACAGTTACTTTCCAGGGTGTAGTGATGCTTATGTATTCTTTGGGAAACTCTTCAACATTCTTTTTCAGCAGGGAGTTAATTCTTTATTATTTAACTCGGAAAACATTTTTTCTTAGGTGCAGAAAATTGCAGCTGAGGTGAACAGAGGAATTGTAACAGATCTTGTAATGACTTCCTGAATACTGAGTGGGGAGTACAGAGATGGAGGCCAGCATGGAGGAGATCCCAGTTAAAGTTGCAATAAGGGTCAGACCTCTGCTTTCCAAGGAAGTACTTCATAACCACCAAGTATGCGTGAGATTAGTCCCAAATACACAACAAATAATCATTGGGAAAGACCGTGTCTTCACTTTTGATTTTGTATTTGGCAAAAACTCAACCCAAGAAGAAGTTTACACAGTTTGCATTAAACCTCTTCTAGTGTCTTTGACTGAGGGATATAATGCTACAGTATTTGCATACGGACAGACAGGTTCTGGGAAGACTTACACCATTGGAGGTGGTCACATTGGTACGTTGTAAAAAGTCTTTTTTTCTGTGTGTGTGAACAATGTAGTTCTGCAAATTAAGTATTTAATACATAACAGATGATGCTTGAGAATTTTTAAGAGATAATGAAAAAATGTATAGCAAAAAAATACGTATATATTCCAAAGTTTATGTGATGGTTGTGTTCTAAACACAAATTCTGTGTCCATTAGGCTATACCAAAAGTATGAGAGATTTTTTTTTCTCTCATAATTTTTTTTCTCTCATTAAAAAAAATTAAAATGCTCTTTCCCATTCTCTATTCTAACAGGCAACTTACACTACTTTCTGAAACACAGTGCTTTAGAAATTTTTGCTCCATTTATCCTACTTAGAAAGTATCTGCTTTAGGTAATTGTATTAAGCAAACTCACTCTTGGACTTTTTTCAGAGACTGACAAAGAGATTTCATATATAAATTTCATGGAATAGAATCCTAGAATGGTTTGGGTTGGAAGGGACCTTAAAGATCACCCAGTTGCAACCCCCCGCCACGGGCAAAGATGTCACCCACTAGACCGGGTTGCCCAGGGCCCCATCCAGCCTGGCCTTGAACACTCCCAGGGATGGGGCATCCACAGCTTCTTTGGGCAACCTGTGCCAATGCCTTGCCACCCTCTGAGTAAAGAATTTATTCTGAATATCTAATCCAAATCAACCCTCTTTTAGTTGGAAAGCCATTACTCCTTGTCCTATCATTACACCACCTGACAAAGAGTCCCTCCAGAGTCCCTCCCCAGCTTTCCTGTAGGCCCCCTTTAGGCACTGGCAGGCTGCTGTAGCCTAAAGCCTCTTCTCCAGGCTGCACAACTCCAACTCCCTCAGCCTGTCTTCGTAAGAGAGGTGCTCCATCTCTCTAAGTATCCCTGTGGCCCTCCTGGACTCTCTCAAATACTTCCACGTCCTCGTGCTGGGGGACCCAGAGCTCCAGGTGGGGTCTCACGAGAGCAGAGCAGAGGGGGACAATCACTTCCCTCCCCCTGCTGGCCATGCTGCTTTTGATGCAGCCCAGGATATGGTTGGCTTTCTGGGCTGCAAGCACACATTGCTGGCTCAGGTTGAGATTCTCATCAACCAACGCCCCCAGGTCCTTCTCCTCAAGGCTGCTCTCAATCTGTTTTCTGACCAGACTGTAGTTGTGCTTGGAACTGTTCCAGCACAAGTGCAGAACCTTGCATATTGGCCTTGTTGAACTTTATGTTGAATTCAAATTTTGCTTTTTTAAAGGCATATATCTGAAACTCTACTATTCAACTTACTTGGTATTTCCAAGTCAGTGTTTCTCAAACACCTGAGACTGGAAACTACTTTTTTTCTGTATTAGTTCGCAGAAGAATTCTTCAGCTTCTGCATGTATACGATTTTGCTTTCTAACTTTCTCTGGAATCCTGTATCACCAGCTCTGGTTATCTTCCCTTCCATATCGAGAAGTCACAATTTGTTTGTCTGTTCTGCTGAATAAGAGAGAAGAAGTGGAGTAGCAGGAATTAGAAGACTATCTGGATTTTTCTTGGTCCTTGATTCTGAATTTGAAACCCTGAAAATTATGTATTCATTCTTTCTGCATAAAGGATTTGAAGTTTTATCATTAATTCATTAGCAAGTTCAAAATATTTTTTTCTTCTAGCGTGATTTTTTACTAATTTAATTTTCTTTCAGTCTCATACCTGCAGAAAGTAGTAAAGTTCTGTATCATTTCCATGCATTTCTGATCAACAGAAAAGCAAATATTTACATGAAAACTTGGGAAAACTGAGCTCTTCCTATTCCTTATTATATGGAGTGATAAACCTCACAGACTTCTCTTTAGTTTTAGTCTTTGTAATTTGTGTGACAGAATGACTGCAAGTGTCTGTGACATCTGTGTTTATATTTTAGCATCAGTTTCAGAGGATGAAAAAGGCATAATCCCACGGGCTATTCAGGAGTTATTTCAGCATATTTCTGAAAACCATAACATCGATTTCCGTGTGAAGGTATCTTATATAGAGGTTTACAAGGAAGAACTTCGAGATTTATTGGAGTTGGAGACCTCTGTGAAAGATTTACATATCCGAGAAGATGAAAAGGGAAATACAGGTAGGATTTCAGCTCTAGAACTTCGTGCATTTGATTTCTGTTGTGTGCACAAATTATTGTTTCCATCTCTTGAAAAGAGAGCTTATCGATGACTAATACTAGACGAAGTCACGTTTTCAAAATATAAATTCAGTTTAGCTGATCTGAAGTAGCATTCATTTTAGATTCCTATGAACAATATCAATGTTCCTCCAGAAGCAGCATCAGGTGGTAAGGTAGTACTGTTACTGTTTCTGCAAATTCAGCATAGAAACACAATTGTGCATGATTATTCAGTTGAATGAATGCTTTAAGATTAAGCCTTTGCTTCTCACTTCAAAGTTATATTTGTTAAGCTACTTATGCTGTAAATATCTGCTTCCATTCCACTAAGAATTATGTTCTTAACATAGGCTGGGAGTCACTTTTACTACAAACTTTCAAAATTGCTGTCTTTTTTTTTTAACTGACAAAGTAAGCTTTGAGCTAGGTTTGCTCATACTTTTTTTCTAGATAGCACTAGGTTGCAAATTGCATAAGATGATGTGTAAACACCTAAGTCTGTGTATTCTGTTTATGATATTGTTTCAAATGCTGTGACAAAATACACCCATATATTATATTTCTGCAGGTTTCAGATGTGCTGTACTTCATGCTTTCCATATACTGTTTTATTTTATTTAGCTATGTGCTACAACCTTATAATAATGCAGGCTTGTATGCTTCTGTGATTTGTGTTTATAGATTGACTATTCATAATTGCAGTAAACTTTTACTGAAAAGTTTAGAATTAATTTACTTATTCTGATTTTCTTTTGGTGTTTGAAGTGATTGTTGGTGCTAAGGAATTCCAAGTAGAATGTGCAGATGAAGTGATGAGCCTGTTGGAAAGTGGCAATGCGGCTCGTCACACAGGCACAACACAAATGAACGAACACTCTAGTCGATCACATGCCATTTTTACTATCAGTATTTGTCAGAAACCATCTGCAGAGTCTCAAAAAAATAGTGATCCACAGGATTCATCTTGGAAATCAGTCCAGATGATTGCTTCAAAGTTCCATTTTGTGGATTTGGCAGGATCAGAGAGGGTGACAAAGACTGGAAATACTGGTGAACGATTCAAAGAATCAATTCAAATCAATAGTGGCTTGTTGGCCTTGGGAAATGTCATCAGTGCTCTTGGAGACCCAAAAAGGAAAAGCGTACATATTCCATACAGGGATGCTAAAATCACTCGCATTCTGAAAGACTCCCTAGGAGGGAACGCCAAGACTGTCATGATAACATGTATAAGTCCATCCTCATCAGACTTTGATGAATCTTTAAATTCACTCAAATATGCAAACAGAGCCAAAAACATCAGAAATAAACCAGTTGTAAACTACAACCCTGATCAAGACCGGATTGATGAAATGGAACTTGAAATCAGATTGCTCCGAGAAGCTTTGCAGAACCAACAAGTTGGTAATCAGTGTTCACACGACTTAAATCAAGAAAGAACCCGAATCAGTTTGCTAGAAGAACAGCTCACCCGGCTTCAAGTTCAGTGCTTCAGCTACAGAAACTGTTTGGACGAAGCCTTCCCATTCCTGGTTGATTTGAATGATGATGTTAGCTTAAAAAGCAGTCATCGGGACAGGTTGCAGAGTTGGATCAACACGGTACAGGAAGTAATGAAGGAAGCCCTTACCGTGCAGCAAATTGACACTGGAACTGGCACCATGCAAGAGCCCCATCATATCACAATTCTTCAGCTGAGGAGAGAACTAAAGAAATGCCAGGTATTTCATTATAAGTTGATTGTTTAGGTACCTATGAACAAATCAGGAAAGCTAATGTGTCTGTCTTGTAGGAGGAAGAGATAGAGTTCCAACAAGTTAGAATTTTATAAAATCAACCTCTTTTCATTTTTCACACTGAATTCTGGTAAGCCTGTAGATTGTTACCTCGCAATTGCATACACAAATTCTGGCTTTTCTTGGTTCTCAAGAAAATCTGTAATCCTAAATTACAGCTATGTTATTTATTCTTCATTTTTTTTCTCTGGCTTATTGTAAAGCTCTGCTTCCCAGGTTCAAAACAGTGTAAGAGCTGGGTTTAAACTGAAAGATACCCAGGTAAGCATGCCATCCACAGCTAGGAGGAGATGGTTAGGGAGATGCTAAAATAAACAGGGCAATAACGGCTCCTGAGCAGCTCTTAAGAGTTGTATTTACTTGAAAGATATAGGTTGTACAGAAAAGATATAGTTGTACAGAAGTATCTGTCTTTAGAATGGTAAGACATAGTGTGTCTATACTTTGCATTTGGCTCCTAAAGGTTTTCTGGAAGGCCAACTACATTTGGAAGTAACCTTCAATCACTATTGGATCACTTATCCAGAAAAACATCTGAAAAAAAATAATATTATAATTTCTTTAATCTTCAGGCTCTTATTTGAGATGAAAAATGAGGAGGGCCATCCTTATTTTTTTGTTTGAGAGGTGTATTAATATTATGATTGATGCTGAGATTTTACAGCCACATCTCACAGCACACTGAAGAAAATAATTGGATTTAAATACCCACTTTGTAACGTAGCGTTGGTTATGGGTACATTATTTCCTTTGGGAGAAAGAAACTTGTCAAAACAAAATCAATAGATGAGAAACAGAAGTAAAGAAACAACTGGTGGAAACCACTTTTGAAGGGAGCAGCTGATTCCCCAGAGGGCCATGCTGCCATAACCACAGGGACCTTGACAGCCTAGAAAGGTGGGCTGACAAGAACCTCATGAAGTTCAGCAAGGGAAAGTTCAGAGTCCTTCACCTGAAGAGGAACAACTGCAGGCACTAGTGCATGCCGGGGGCCACCCCGCGGGATAGCAGCCCTGCAGAAAAGGAGCTGGGCGTCCTGGTGGACACCGAGTTGAACATGAGTCAGCCATGTGCCCTTCCTACTGAGAAGGCTAGTGGTTTTGTTGGTTGCACTAGGCAAAGTATCACTAACAGGTCAACAGATGTGATCCTTCCACTCAGTGAGGCCACACCTGGAGTAGGGTGTCCAGTTGCAGTTGCAAACTGTATTTTGTGGTGCATTACACACAGCATAGGCAGCCAGTCAAAAGAGGTGATTCTCCCACCATATTTAGCATTGATGTGGCCTCACCTTGAGTATTGTGTGCTCAGGGGCTCCACAGTTTAAAAAGGATGTTAAGATAATTGAAAGTGTGCAGAGGAAGGCAACAAAGCTGGTAGAGGGGCTGGAAGGCAGGTCCTATGAGGAGAGACTGAGAACACTTGTGTTGTCCAGTCTGAAGAATAGGAGGCCAAGAGGCGACCTCATGGCTCTCAGCAACTTGCTGAGGAGGGAAGGTGCTGGTCTCTGCTGCTGGTAACTGAGGGAAGAATGCATGGGAATGGCAGAAAGCTGTGGGGGATGTCCAGTTCATGCTGGACATCAGGGAAAGTTTCTGTACCATGAGAATGGTCAGACACTGGAACCGGCTTCCTAGCGAGCTGTTTGGTGCCCCATGCCTGTCAGTATTCAGGAGGCATTTGGGCACTGCCCGCAATAACATGCTGTAACTTTAGGTTAGTCCTGAAGTGGTCAGCCAGTTGGACTTGATGATCTTTGTAGGTCCTTTCCAACTTTTCTACTCCATTCTGCTTTATTCTGTTCAGTTCTGGGCTGCCCCATGCAAGAGATTCAGGGACATACTGGAAAAAGTCCAGCAGAGGGCCACAAAGATGCTTAAGGGACTGGAGCACCTCTCCAATAAGGAAAGGCTGAGAGAGATGGGACTGTTCAGTTTGGAGAAGAGGAGGCTCAGTGGGGGATTTTAGCAATGTCTTACAAATACCTGAAGGGAAGGTGCAGTGAACATGCAGCCAGGACAAAAGGCAGTGGGCATATACTGGAACACAAGAGCTTCTATCCAAACATCTGGAAGCACTTGTGTACTGTGTGGTGGCTGTGGCTGTGCACTGGAACAAGTTGCCCAAAGAGGTGGAGTCATCCTCTGAGACCTGCAAAAGCCACCTGGACATGGTCCTGGGCAACCTGCTCAAGGTGGCCTTGCTTGAGCCGGGGGTTAAGCCAGGTGACCTCCAGAGGTCCTTTCCAGCCTCAGCTGTTCTGTGATTCCGTGGTGGGAGAATTTGCCATATATACGTCACAACTTTGCAGTTCCAATCACATCTTTAAACAACAAATAAATATCTGTATGTATTTAATTTTCCAACTTCAACAATAACAATGCCTGCTTTTCCACTGGCTGAATTTTCCTTTTATTATCTAGCAGGCTCTAGCTATGGATGAAGAAGTATTCAGCCAGAAGGATCATGAATTGAAGATATTGCAGAATCAGATAAAGACATTAATACAGGAAAATGAAGAGCAACTGGAATCTTTAAAGAAGGCTGAAGAAATACATAGATTACAGGTATTTTTCCTCTGGCATATATTACATATATCTATATCAAACCATCCATCCACTATAGGAATGTACTCATTATTTCAAGACAGATCCTTCAGAATTTTTTTGGATGTAAACACCTACCAGTCTTACAAGCACCTTGTTTGAATTAGAGCTGTATTCCCTAATGAGCTGAGATCATCTAGTGGGTGAATCACAATACTGTGATTCCTGAAGTTTGTGTATCAGCCTAACTGTGCCACAGCCTTCCTGTATGATATTAAGTGATTCATTCACCCTCTCTTTGCTTCCTGCCTTCCTCCAGATCTGTGTTGTTGCTAAGTTGTTTCAGGACGATTCATGATTTAGGACTTGAAAGGCTTTTAAAGCTTGTTTAGAATCTCAAAAAGACCATCAAGTTCCTACAGAATGCTTTAATTGAAAGGCTGTGTAGAAACATGCTTTGTTATATCTTTATTCAGTGTGAGAGTAAAGTATTGTTGCCTTTTGACTTTTTAAGACAGAATTTCATCCTAGTATTCTGAGAGTTTACTATTACAAGAAGCTGAGTGACACAGTGGAAACACTGCTTGCCTCCTTCCCTCTCTAGATCTTGTATATGCTAATGAAATTGTAATGGGTAGTAAGTGAATAGCATTTCAAGATCCAGGAGACCATATATAGGATAGTTGATAGATCTGACTTTATAGGATGATAGATCTGACCTTTTTTAAAGGGAACAGCATAAACATGGCTAGTTAGTACTCTTCTCCTTATTCTCCTTATTCTCCTTTTTCTCCTTTTTCTCCTTTTTCCTCTTCTTTGCTGATGGCTTGGGGAGAGTCAATGAATGAAAGGTAAGTACACTGGTCACCATCTTTTCCTTCCCTCTGTAACTTTTTTTCTGTTCTGTCATCTCTGGATAGGCTTTTTTTGTGTGTTTTCCTTTTTTAACCCATACTGCATATTGTCAGCTTATTAGACTGAAACAATCCATGCTTCTAATACCCATAGATGCTTATATACGATTATGCTTATAATTGTATCTTATGGAGGATACGAGGCAGATGATATGAACAGAAACAGTTGTACTGTAGGCAAAAGATCGCAGCTCTCACTTTTACTTAAAAACAGAAAAATCAGTATAATAATTAAATCAAATGCTTGTGTCAAATGGCTTAAAGTTGTATGCACAGGAAAGTGTCGTTTCAATGATACATGATAGAATAAGAACTGTAAAAGTAGCATGTAAATGTTTGTACCCATGTATTTATGTAACAGGTTATGCACTATGGGGTTGTATGTACAAGGGCATAAGGGACAGAGTCTTATAGGGATTAAAAAAAAAAAAGTTGCAAGGTGGAGTTGCCCATTACTACTTCCACAATCATAAAATGTATGGTATTGACATATATATTCTTTTTGCTATGACACAGAAATATTATGTATTGTATTCCAACAAAATGTCAATTTGTGGGGCATTGTCTATGTATGGGGAAAGGACTTGCAGTCTAAGAAGATGAGAAAAAAAGAATAAATAAAAAATATATGATTCAAAGTAGGAGAATGCATACTTTAGTTAACTATCTCTAGCTGTTATTCAAATTTCCTGTTGGTAGGCAAGATTTTCGATGTATTCTGAAAGGAACAGAGAAGACTGAAAATTGTATGGTCTTGGCCTTATGGATAAATCAGTTCAGTGAAGATATGTAATTTTGAACAATGCACAGAGATTGCTGTAGGAAAGGCAAGTAAGTTCTTCAAACTAGCATTACCGACAAATTTGAGGCTGGGTAGAAAAGAAAGTAACGGTTGATACAGGGGATCCTGGGGTCACGTCCAATTTTATGAATGTTAATTAATAAAAATAATCTTTCAAGTTGGACCGCTCCAAGAGGAAGAGGAAGCCTACATGTATGTACATTTCATTCTTTAAACTCAGACCATGTGCTTCATTTGAACATTTTTCTTGAATTACCGTTTTATTTATCCATGAACACACAAATAAGGCAAGCAAGGGCTGATAAATATGTCATCTACTTCTCACTAGATGTCTAAATCTAGCTGACATAATTTATATAGGACAGGTCCTTTAGAGACAAAAATGTCTCAAAAAAATGATTGGAGTTTGGGGAGAGGTAAGATTCTACCTGTCATGCCAGAGAATTTTCAGTTTGTTGCAGAATTTGCCTGTGCACTGCAGAAGAATTTAGAGTTGGTGAATGATATACAAGAAGACTGACCTTTATAATGAATTTAGAAAGGTATGATGCAAACCTGATGATCAGCAACCGTTTTTGTTTTTGTTTTTTTCATATGAGAATGAAAAAATGGTGGAACAGCAAATCCTTATTGATCAGCTAAAAGAAAAATTAGAGAAGTTTATGGTTGTGAAAACTTGGGACTTCTCAAGTGCTTGTGGAGATGGGCCTGCTGTTACGGCATCTGCAAGAAGGCCATACAGTGTCCCACTCACAAAGAGTCTGCTACACTCCCTTTACCCATCTTCAGGGACAGAGACACGAAAGGTAAGGTCTACCTAAGCATTACATTTTTTTTAACAGTTATCGTTCAATAATTCTATTGGGCGTGACAAATTATGGTGACCTATTGTCAGCTGCTGTTTGGCTTTGAAGCATTTTAGCATTGAAGACTGAAAAAGTACTTTCGAATGTCTTGCGACACACGCTATGTCCCAAGTTGTCCAAAATCTATGGGCTTACATTTTGAATCCCAGAATGGCTGGAGTTTGAAGGGACCTTTAAAAATCATCTAGTCCAACTCTGCCATGGACAGAGACACCTTTCACTAGATCAGGTTGCTCAAAGCCCCATACAAATTGACTTAAAACACAGAATTTATCACAGTCATAAAGCTGTAGTCTTTAGTGATCTTTTTGTGCAATGTTTAACAGTTCAGATAGGAAGCATTCCCAAAATGAATGATTATTCTGTACTGATAAACTGAACATTTTGGGTAATAAGTTGGTAACAGTACCTTCTTTTGCACTTGGGACAAGTGTTCTAAGCAGAACCTTCTCTTGCAAAACCTTCTGGTACACAGGTACTCAGAAATATTATTTAAACACCTGCAATTTTGCATACAAGGTCAGGTAGTGAAAGACTTTTAAACTGAAATACTATTGGAATATCAATAAAGAATTACTGAACTATTCCAAGTGTTTTTTGGGCGCTTTTTGGCAGGTGTATACCAGTCCCCCTGCTTTTTCCCTGGCTCGGATGATGGCAGGATTCCGTGCTCGTAGCCAGATTATACTGAGCTACATAGAAGATCAAGATGAAGTCCTTCACTGCCACCTCTCTGATCAGAGTGATGAAGAGAAAGAAAATACAGACAGTAAAAAGTAATTTATTTTTTTTTTCTCATTTAAGTAATTTTTTCTTTAATTTTTGTTACAGATAAATATATAATATTACTGCCTAATCCTACTGTAATGTGAGGCCATTTGTGATACTACTTAAAATAAATTTGCAGGACCAACTAGGCATATTATGAAACTAGTTTAAAAACCACATTTTTTGATGCGATAAAGATTGCATGATCTTTGTTTTGGGGACATCATCCAACAAGATCAAGCAAGGGAAGAAGAAGGTGCAAATGCTTATGTAAGCTTTCTCAGTTTGGCACTCTTCTTTTTAATATCATGTACTTTATATAAAGTTAAAAGAAAAAAAAATCCCTTTGTGTTTAGAATGTATCATGTTTTCCATTCTTTCTTAGGCATTCAATAAACCAAACATGGACACGAAAACAGGCTTCTCTGTGCTTTCCCTTTGAGCAAAGTGACATGAAATGTCAAGTTGACAAGTCCAGCTTATGTGACAAATCTGTGCCACAGACTGATACAGCCACAGGTAAAATGGAAGTCATGAGAGTAAATTGTATTAGATATAATATTAGAATATGCAATAATGTCTTTATCACATGTAATTATTTTTCTCATCAAAATGTCTTTATTTGCTACAAATACTTTTTTCATTATAGCTCAACATAAATTTATTTTTAAATTATTTTCCTTTTCCCTTTTCTGAAATTGACATCAGTGACCTTAATGTTTAAGTAATACTTACTAGCGAGAAAGCACTTGACATACAAATCTAGTACTAGTTCAAGAAAAGGAAACATGCTATTATTTCATCAGAGATGCACTGAAAATGCTTAAATAATATTTTTTTTTCTCTCTCAGGTTAGCATTCATTAGCATTCTTGAAATGCTAATGCATGCTGTCATTTCCATATTTAGACGGCAGGGAAAAGACTCTTTGCAATACTCTCTCCGTTTGGCTCTTTCACTTCATTTGTAAGAATTCTATACATACTATATTTCAGATCACTGTCTTTTGGCTAAAGAGTGTATTCCTTTTATTCCTTTTTTATTCCTTTTTTTTTTGGTCTCCACATTGCTTTGTTTTCTTTCAAGGTGAAGAAATTGACTGCCTCCAGAAAAGTCATGTTTTTAACATGCAGAAGTTAAAGAATTCAGAGTTGAGACTCACTGAGGCCAAGCAAAAAATGAGAGAACTTGCACTTAACATCAAAATGAAAGAAGAACTTATTAAGGAATTAGTAAGAACAGGTAAGTGACTGAAAAATTGAAATGAAGACATTCAGAAATAAGCAAGAAAAAGACACAAAACTTCTGAAGACCTGCATATCTTAGTTTTTGGGTAATTTTCTTCTGCGGGAATACTTCTGGTAACTTACAGTTTCCTAACTTCTATGAATTACTTGCTATGAGTGCATTGAAGGCTGCAAATTTTTATTGTGTCCTACTCAGCTGTGATCTGCAGATTTGTTTGTTAAATATTTTTTTGTGTTTTGTAGCTTATTGTGTTTATCCACCTATAGTGTAATTTTTCATGTATGCTTGGTGCAACTGATCTCTTCATGGACATGTGTTTGTCACCCAGTGTCTGGGATAGGAGAGAAGATACGACACTGTGCTGGGAATGCTTGCATTGCCATCATAGCAGTAGAGAAGCAGGAGTCAGAAGTGGATGAGGGAAAAGGTCAGTGTCCCTGTTAGCCTATATCATTACACACCTGTCCTGATATATATATGCTTGCCAGAAACTTATCATTGTGATGACCCTAAAGATCTGTGCTTACCTGTTTCAATCACACTCTTCTACTGTGTACATATTCTCCTGAGGCAGTCTTTTGTCATTGAGAAACATTGTGCTCCCCCAATAACAGTACTTACGGAATCCCAAACAGAGCAAATGAGATTGCCCGAACAGGGCAAATCAGTAGAAACACAATCATGATTTGTTTGCTGATTACCAAGTTGAAAGCTGAGAAATATGTAGCATATTCTTCTGGGGAAAAACAAACAAACAGACAAAAACAAAACAACAACAACAACAAAAAAAACATAATAATACAGGCAAGCTATTTTGTCAAGGACTGCAGTAGGCAGAAAATTTTCACTTGATATGGCACTCAGGTGTTACTTTCTTTGGTGACATCAGATGATTTATGAAGAGTTCAGATTTAAGATTCCTTCGTTCATCTATATTTCAGTGTTATAAGGGAGCTGTTTGTTTAGGTTTGAAAAATGTCTCAGAAATTTTTGGTTTAATCAGGATGAAGTAAGTAACGATTCAATTACAGGTTTAAGTAATACATTGCAAATTATTATCTTGCTGTTTTAAAACTATTTGGATATGATGTCTTTAAGGTAAGGATGCAGAGTCTGTAAGCAGGCAATATTCTTTGAAGATAACTAAACTGGAGCAAGAATCCGAGCAGGCCAAAATGGAACTGGCCGAAACTCAAAAACAGCTTCAGGAGCTGGAGAATAAGGAGCTGAGAGAGCTTCCTGAGAAAGCCAAGCTGCAAAGAGAGTTCTGAAAGAAGATGGATGCAGCTAAGCTGAAAGTGCAGGTATTTCCAATATGACCATTAGGATTTGCAAATTCCTGTCTCAGCATCACCTTTGAAATCTGTACACTCTGCTTGTGAAACTCTTACCAGCTTCACACAAAACCTTCACACAGTTATACCCACTACTATTTAACAACTAAGTAGTTAGATAGTTCTGTCTTTGATGATTTTACGAAGGCTCAGAGACCTTAGAGATAATGTGTGATTGTTGTGGCAAAATGTAGCAAGTCTTGCTCACTGTCCTAACTCAGTGAAATAGAGAATTAACCTGAGTCAGGTTTTAGTTTTAAGTTTTCCTGTTGTTAAGCTGAAATTTTCCATGAACATTCAGGTCTTACAGAAGAAGAAGCAAGACACTAAGAAACTGGCTTCTCTATCTAACCAAAGTGAAAAACGAGCAATAGAACTTGAGCAGAACGTGGCTCAGATGAAGCATCAGCAGACCCTGCTAGAGAAAAGACTGCGTGAGGAGAGTGAAAAAAAGAAGCAACTAGAAGCAGAGCTTCAGCGGGACCAGCTACAAATTAAAGTAGGATTCTTTCTGTTTCCTTACGACAAAGAATAAGATCAACCAGTTTGACCTTTGTTTTCCCAAAGGCAATGTACTATACTACCAGATTTTGTCATTTTAAGTAATTGCTTACTTGACACTGAAGAAATTGTGTATAAGTATTTTCACAGAAATCTTCATTCTTCCTTTCTCTTCAGCTATGTTTTTAAATGTTATTATGTGATGTCTAGCCCTGAGTTGCAATTTTGCATGTAAATTAGTTCAATATTTCTGATTTCATGATTGTGTAGATTCTGTCATTAAATGTGTTTGAAAAACACACTGATTGAGGCAGAAAGAAAGTTTTGTTTGTTTTTGTTTAGAGGAACTTCAGCTTAAGATGGAACAGCAACAGAAGATTCTTAAACTTAAAGACAGAGAGATTGCTGCATTTAAAAAGAAGAAAAATAACTCGGTGGGACTTTACAGAAATCAGAGGTAGCTGATCTATTCCAAATCTGTGTGGACACTGGAAAGAAAGGTGTCTTTATTCACCCCTTGTCATCTTTGTAAAGCGTTTGGAAGAAGAGCGTTCCGTCCTCCCCTGTTTTTTTTTTAAATTGTTATTTTTTTGTTGTAGCAAAAACTGAGACAAGTCAAGAAGCTCTTTTACTGGTTTTGGATGAATGAAAGGAGAGGGCTGTAATGTCTTTGTTTTTTCTATGACTTGTCAAAGGTAGTAATTCAGATAGCTGGAAATTCAACAAGTTTGGTTGTCTGGTAGGCTTGAAGGTGATTCTGATGAGCTCTGTTATAAATGTTGCATGGTTTGTTTGTTTATTTCTTTTCCCATCTGACAAATATGACAGACGGCTATGGTTTTGGTCGTGCATGACAGTGTTAGAATAGTAGGTTTCCTGTGCAACAGTGCTACCTGCATGATTTCAGAACTAGACATTGGAACATGAGAGTTTCATGAGTTAACCAATGTCTTTAGAGGTGAAAATAAATTTAAAAAATGAAATAAAAGCAACTTTTTAGCCATACCAGCAATATGCCCACTGATAAACCATTGCTTCAGAAGAGACTTATAATAGACTCTGCTAGCAGGGTCAGAACTCCCATTTTTTCTTTCTTTCAGCATCACAGTTTCTCATCACTATGTGTTTTTCCACAAATCTTGGTCTTGGGCAAGAATAATGCAATAAGGATGGGCTAGCTGATTTCTTATGGTACCTTTCAAACTTAGTTGTTGTCATTCTATATATGACATCTATTTATATAACTGTTTTTAGGAAAATAATACATTTCCTTAAAAGCATCTGATAAAATTGTTTGCATAAGATGTAGTAATATAACATTGTTGAGCCTCTCCTTAAGTCAGTCCTATTTCTGTATTATCCTGAATCAGGATTCTGTTGAGCAATTGATGTTAAGAATTGAAATGTTGATTTCTCATGTTTTATCAGTTACTCTAAAAGAGGAAAAACATAGTCATAAAATTCTGACCCAAATAGTCCTTGTTAATGCTCTCTGGATCTCTGTTTAAATTGTAGAAATTAGAAGAGCAAAAGAAATGGCTGGATGAAGAAATGGAAAGAATTCTTCAACAGCACCAACAGTTAGCGGAACTAGAAGAAGATTTAAAGAAAAGAGAAGCCATTGTAGCTAAAAAAGAAGCATTATTGCAAGAGAAAAGCCACCTAGAAATCAAGAAACTGAGATCTAGCCAGGTGATTTAAGAAAAAAAAAAAAAAGAAAGAAAAAAAAAAGAAACTTAACACAATTGTAGAGCTGACTGAAAAGACTATGGGAGGAGGGCAGCCGGATAACAGAAGAGGTTTAAGCCATGCAACTTGTATCTCTAGCGCTGCCATTACATTATTGTGTGGCTTGATCAAATCAACATTTTAAACATGAATAATAGAATGTAATAATCTTTATTTACATGATATCCCCGAAATTCTAACAACAAAACAAAATCTGACTTCCAAAGTTCTGTTATTGCAGCACATTAAATAACGATATCTAAAAAATTGCTCAATGCCTGCAAACTAGAGAACATGGCAGAAAAACATTCTGTATTATTTACTTTGGCTACTGAGAAACAGAAATTGAAATGTCATTGTCACCGTAATGACTAACTCATGTAAGATATGTAGAAAACTGCACATTGCCTTTCTTTGTTTTCTTTCATCTTTTGACTAAATAGTAAATTTTATGGTAGCTATCTACTTAGCCTAAATGGCATCCCTTTACAAGAAGTAGACAGGTCTTCCACTCTAGCATGTGACAGTCTCATGTACATGTTTATGGGGAAGGAGTTTTATACTTACGGTTTCTTTCATTCTTCCTCTTATTTCTTTCTCTCTCTCTCTCTCTCTCTTTTTTTTTTTTTTTTTTTTAAAGGCTTTAAATAAAGATAGTATGAAATTGTCTACTCGCTTAAGTATGCTGGACCAGGAATTGTGTGATAAAGGTATGCAGCTTCAGGACAGCACTACTGAAGATAAGACAGACATTCTGGAAAAAATTCAGGTTCTTCAGAAGGAAAGGGATCAGCTACTCAGAAGAAGAAATAGTGTGGATGAGAAACTGAAAGAGGGTAAAGTGTTGTCAGCTGAAGTAAGTAACTATCTCTGAGATACATAAAAGTTTTAGGCAATGTTGTATAATAAAGTATTCCAATCATGACCTAAAATGTCTCCCAGGATTAGATAGTAGAGAATCAAGGAACTGAGGTTGGGTGTTTTTGTTAACAGCCGACATGAAAATACTGCTATAATGGCACTACTTACATAACAGTGAACAACATATACTTTCAGAGGGACTTACTTTAGCTAGAGTCCGGACAAATGTCACTGGCCTAACAATTATATAATTAGAAATAATGAAACAGGATGTACATCAATTTATCTTAGGCAGCTATTTTCATATCATGACATAGAACAAGGTGAAGTACTCTAATAGTGATGTCCCTTGATTTTTTTTTTCATAGGCTTTTGTGAAAGACCAAACCTCACCTGAAGGCCTCCATATAGTTACAATGAAAATAAGCCATATTGTGGATGTTACACACTTGAATTGATCAGTATAATTAAGTTGAAGATTGAATAAATTGATGTAAAATACACAGATGTGTTTTAGGTCTTGAGAAGCAGCAGTTGGGGCCTATTACTGAGCTGATAGCATGCCAGAAAGAATCCTATTTGCTTCACTCCACAGAATCTTCTGCAATACTTCAGGGCATTAATTTCTGCCACCTTCCTGCACAGATAATGGTCACCAAACTGCTTACAGATCTGATTGGTTCATTAATCGCTAATTAGAAAACTAGTTCAACTGAAAAAGTAATAGAAGTCATCAAATTGTGGGGAGGGGAAAATGAAGGAAGAATAGAATTTAGGCTTTTGTGGTGATGAACCATTTGTTTGAACTCTGGTCTGTGGAAGGGATATCAAAACATTTCCTGGTTGCTCCAAACAGGTTCTAGATTTGTACTCTTCCTCTTATTTTTCCCATTCCATTCTCTGTACTACTACTAGTTAGTCTTGCTCTTAAATTTAGATTCACCTTTGAGAATGAAGTTAATGTCTTATGCACACAAAGGTTGTTTTGTACTTTTTTTACAATCTCACTCCTGTGTTTCTGTGTAGGAAGAACATGTCCTTTTCCAGCTGGAAGAAGGAATTGAAGCCCTGGAGGCTGCTATTGATTACAAGAATGAAAGTATTCAGAGTCGCCAGTACTTGCTTAGATCCTCTTCACAGATCCTTTCACAGAGTGAGGATAATGTAATAGGAAAACTAGTTTCCTTGTCTGCTAATGAGCTCAGAGCTATCCTCTTCAAATACTTTAACAAGGTTTGCTTTGGCTAATGATCAATATTTTATCCTATTACCTGTTATTGTGCTAAATAGTTAAATGAAATAGTGTCAAGAAGTAAAGTCAATTTAATCCCCTTTCATTGAAAGCCTGCTTAGGTTACTCACATCTGTTGTTAATTTGGATATTTTGCATCTTGACATCAACATAAAAAAGGATGCTTTTATATTACTTGTTTGTATCTTGTTTTGGTGTCATTAGCTTAAAAGGTGTTGCAAATCTGGAAATTTCATTGCTCTTTTCCACTGCTTTATGCTGCTAACTTCTCAAGTAGCAACATATTTAAATAGTGGTGTCATATTGAAATTCTTCCCACCTGCAGTCTTTATTAACCTCAGGATAGTATTTCTTTTTTCCAAATCCATTATAAAATCTTTCTGCAAATAAGCGCTTACCACCATATACTGAAGAATCGTAATGACACCTGGAAACATAAAAAAGAAATGTATTAGGACTTGGTGTCTCTCTTTGCCCATGGGTGAACCTTGGGTGATTTTGTGAACATGTTGTCTGTGGTACACAAATTGGAAGTTTTCCAGAAACAGGAGAAAAACTCTTGTATCAGTTTAAGTTCTGCACAGGGCATTAAAAAATCCGCTAGTCCATGTGATCAAAATATACAGAGCTCAATTCTGAAGTGTGAACTCATGTCAACAGGCAAATCTGTTTCCAGTATAAGCTTACAGTTTATAGAGACAATTGCTTTTGTATCCATTCATCTATTAAGCAGAACTGTAAAAGCGTTTGTTGAAATGGTTTGATAGAAGTGTGTTTCTTTCTTAGATTGTTGGCCTGCGAGAGTCTGAACGTAAATTACAACTGCAGACTGAAGAACAGGAAATGAAGGTCATAGACCAGGAAAATATAATACGTGAATTGGAATCTGCACTTGAGCACATCAAGTTGCAGTGTGACAGGCAGCTGACGCTACAACACAGAGAACATGAGAAAAAACTACAGTTGATACTGCATCATTTCAAGGGTGCTTGTTTGTTTTCAAAGGGGAATTGTACAGCAGATATTATCTTTAGTCACTGTTGAGAAATACTGTGTTTCACATGAAAGAAAAAAGAATATATGAGGTAGAAAGATAACATTTTGGCTGTTACTAATTCTGATGTTGAGTAGGATGCTGATGAACAGACACAAGGTGCTTGTATAAAAGAAAAAAGCTGACCATTTTTAAAAAACTGTCAGAATTGTCATATTTTTATATTCAATTTGTTGACATTGGAAAGGTGAAAGATACCAATCCCATTGATCTTTATCCTCTAAATGCTCCTATTAAAATGGAGAATTGGGGTTGGCATGGGCTTTTTGATCCTCTGTCATACTAGTTTAAATGTACACACTGAAAGCAGAGTGTCAGCAAAATACAGGACATCTCTAGCTGGGCATCTTGATTTTGGCACAGAGAAGTGAAGTGAAGATTTGATTCTTATACTAGTTTTACTTGCCCTAGAACAAGATGGTGAAGGTATTGCAGAAACCTTGAAAGAGTATGAAGTAAAAGTCCAGCAACTGGAAAAAGACTTATTTTATTATAAGAAAACCAGCAGAGAGCTGAAGAAGAAATTGAAGGGCTTTTTTGGAGAGTCACCCCATCAACTAATGGCACCTACTAAATGTAAGTACATTATCTTAAAATGCTTTTGTGTTTGTCAGTAGATCATTTGAGGGGTAGCAAACAGACAAAAGTATATCAGATAGACATAAAAGTCATATTTTTACTGAACTAACTCTTATCCAGGAAGGTACTACATCTCCCCACACTTGCAAAGGAGAGACAACATCAGGTTTTAATAGAGGCAGTGGTATAACACTGTTCTAAATTCATGTTTGGTTTTCTGTGTATTCGAGCATAATTTCAGAAGCTACAGTCTCACGCTGTTGTGGTTGAGAAAACGGTATTTTATTATCTGAAAGACTCTGAATGGCATTATAATTAACAAATGTGTAATATGCTATGCTTTTAGATGCCAGTATTTTAAACAATCAACTTGATTTTGCTGCCAGCACTTGATTTCATAGAAGTTATTTATTGGAAGATTGTCAATGAGGAGGTCCATACTTCCAGTTAACTAAAATCATTCGTTATTCAGGTTAAAAGACCTAGATATTTGTAGTAAGAAGATAAGCTTCCTAATGTGATCTATGCTTTGACCAAAAAAAAAAAAAAAAAAAAAGGACCAACAAACAACTATTAAAAGTTTTTGATTGTTCCATGTCCTACTAACCACAACTCAAACTTAAAATGAAGTAGTTCTAGTGTAGGAGCAAAAATGGTTTAATCATTGTCATTATCTTGGTTGTCTTACACCTCACACTGCCACCACCAACACTTCACACGCACAGTGCAGCCTTCTTGGCCCCGTGTTTCGTTTTAAGGCTCAGCGTGACTCATTCTTCCTCTTAACTGATGGTTCTATTTCATCACACTTGAGGTAGTGCCATGTCTTTGTAACACGTAGATGCTGGTCACATATGCATCTGTTGCTACCAGAGTGAATTGAGGTTTAGCTCTCCAGGCAGGATAATAAGCCTAGAGGTTCATTACTCGAAAGTATGCTGTGACGGTGTGAATATGAATATTCCACAGGTTGGACTGTAAATGAGCATGGGGAAGATTATTCTGTGTCTAATACACAAAGAAGCATGTAGTCCAGGACATGTTTTGCTGTGAGGAAACATCCATCCCAGCCAAACTGTAGCGAAATGTAGAAGGGTGAATGTCCCTATGAATTTCTAACTTTTTCAAATACATATGTTTGTAACGTTTGTAAGAAGCGCTCAGTATTTTTGTATAATTACCTTTAGTTATCTTTCCTCTGAATATATGTAATAAAAAAGTGATGAGCTTTAAAAATAACAAAAATCCCTGTGTACATTAAAGTCACATTCAAAGAATATGTTTTGTGTGTTCTGCTAATGAAATTGCAGACTACTTTTGAAAATACGAATAATTTCATATTTTACTGTCATGGTTCAGTTGTTTTAAGATTGCCTAAATTGCAAGTTAGAATGGTGAAGCTTGTATTACAAGCACAGAGCCAGTGGAAAGTAAATCCCTCTGATATTTTTGTAGGTGATAAACTTTTTAACAGAAAAAAGTGAGATTACTGTAATTTTTTACCACTTTCATACTACAAGTTACTCGTGCTGTAAAACCATACCAACTTGCTAATGTTTCTTGATATAACTTCTAGCTGTGTATTTCCTGATAAAAAATTCATTTTAGGTAACAGTGCTGGTGACAGGGCATGCAGTCAAGATGAATCACAAGCTGCTTCTGAGGAATTCAAGCTAACACATAACCTGGAAACCAACTGTCAAGCAGGAAAAGTAAAGGAAGCAGACAGAATAAATACTCTAAGGTCACGGCAGAATTCATACAAGCTTGGAGAAGATATATCAGAATGTGGATGCAACAAAGAGTGTTTGTCAAGCACTGGTGATGACAAAATAGGAAGAGATGAAGCTCAGCCTTCAAAATCTCATCCTCAGCTACCTTCTGTCACCCACAGAAGAGAGACCATAACACAATTTCAAGGAGTAACCTCTGTAAAATTATCTCGCAGAGAGCTACGTCATATCCCTCCCTCAGAATTAGCTTTGAGACGCTCAAGCCTTGGTGCAGGTGTCAGTTTTATTGCTCCAGACTCCATCGAAATGGACAAAAAGTCTAGTATCACTAAGACATAGTTACTCTTCATTGAATTTTAATAGCTGTTGGTACTGAAGGTACTGTGTTAGATTTCTTTGTTGATGGTGTAGTGGGTTTACATGGCAAAGTTTTGGTAGCAGGGGGCCATAGGAGTGGTTTCTGTGAGAAAGATCTAGAAGCTGCCCCATGTTTGGGAAGGGCCCCATTGTTTTCCAGAGCTGAGCCAATAAGCGATGTTGTCTTGCGCCTCTGTGAGAGAATATTTAAGACAGGGAAAAAAACGCTGTGCCACACAGCAGCTGGGAGAGTGAAGGGATGAGGAACAGCCTTGCAGGTGCCAAGGTTGGTGTAGAAAGAGGGGGAGAGGTGCTCCAGGTGCAAGTCCCCTGCAGCCTGTGGTGACAACCATGGTGAAGCAGGATGTCCCCCTGCAGCCCATGGAGTACCATGGTGGAGCAGGGTTCCACGCTGTAGCCCGTGGAGGAGACCACGGTGGAGCAGGTGGCCCTGCACCGACGGAGGCTGCCACCTGTGGAAGACCCCTGCCGGAGCAGATTCCAGGCCAGACCTGTAGCCCGTGGAGAGGAGCCCACGTAGGAGCAGGTGATCTGGCAGGAGCTGCTGCCCGTGGGGGAGCCAGGTTGGAGCAGTTTTCTCCAACCTGGAGAAAACTGCTTCACCATGGTCCTCACCACAGGCCGCAGGGGACTTCTGCTCCAGCGCCTGGAGCACCTCTCCCCCTCCTTCTTCACTGACCTTGGCACCTGCAAGGGTGTTCCTCACTCCTCTCACTCTCCCAGCTGCTGTGTGGCACAGCGTTTTTTTCCCTGTCTTAAATATGCTCTCACAGAGGCGCAAGATAACATCGCTTATTGGCTCAGCTCTGGAAAACAATGGGGCCCTTCCCAAACATGGGGCAGCTTCTAGATCTTTCTCACAGAAACCACCCCTATGGCCCCCTGCTACCAAAACTTTGCCGTGTAAACCCACTACAGATGGTCTTGTTAAGTAGCAGCCATGGATGAACGACTTAATGCCCTTTAGTTCTTCTGGTCACAATCAAATCATTAGGTTCTTGTGCTGTTCACACAGTTTGAGTGAATCTGAGATGGATTGTAATTAATTCAGTATCTATGGACATATCATTCAAAGACCTTTTAACATTGAAGAAGTAATTTATATTGTTTACTTGTTTTTATTTCACTAACTTAAAATATTTTTCAAAAATTGCACTGTGAAGTGCAAAGTGCACTGTACCTGTGTAATTTAGGTTTTCTGAAAGAACATTCTGCTTCATTTCATTGGGTCAGAAACAATAACAAACTACATAATTTATTTCACTATATAGCTAGAAAATACAGTTTCCAGAATCTTACCTGGTATTGATAATGACTGACCTCTGACTTCTTTTTTCTAAATACTTCATACATTTTATACGAGCCATGCTTGAGATTAAAATAGCCTAAAGATGAATTTGTTATTGAAAAGGAACATGAAAGTACTTTAAAAAATATCACATCTAAAATTTGTGTCCTATTGCAGGACCTAGAAGTTTTTTGTTTCTCCACAAAAAAAAAAAAAAAAAAATTGTTATGGTCTGGTTGTGAAATTAAGGGAACTGCTTATTTCACTTGAAGGTTTTGTTTATTGGGGCTTTAAAAATATTGCACTTTGGGAATATCAAAGTGTGTTGTTTGTTTCTGTACCATTACTGTAGAAAACAAACAAACAAAACAGAGGATCAAATTCAGCATTTTCTAGGTAATGGGCAAATACAGTATTTTCTTTGTACTAATTACTCATGTCTTTTTTTAGAAGATAGATAATTCTTTTGAATTCCCAATCTGCAAGGGCTACATGTATCCTTTGATTTACTTTTGTTGGTAATCAGTTCAGGATGAAAAGCAAACCTTTTTTGTAAGAGTACAGTACTCACTGAAAAGCATACACTTAATAGCTGCACAAACTTGAATGCAGAGAGCAGAATGTCCGCACTTCAATGAATCTAACTTTTATCCATAACTCTTTCCAACATATAAAAAAAGGCACTTTTGAAAGTAAGGTTAGTTTTATGTTAGCAGTGGACTACAAGTGGGCATATTTGAAAGTGTTGTTGTGGATTATTAGATGTACTTAGCAAAGGGATTTTTACTCTGCTGTCATCTGGGCAAGTAGTGTATAACATGTGTGGCTGTAGATATGAAAGGACTGCATTTTTCCTTGCTGCAAGCACAGAATCAATTTGTCCACATCATGAGGCGGCTGTTACAACATGATAAATGGGCCTATTGTCTTGTGGCACATTTACAATTTTTCTGAGTAGATTGCAAAATACTATATTCTAAACGGTTAGGTAAACCATACTTAATTATTCTATGTTGTTCATCTCAATTGTGAGATAAGAATCGTAATCTTTTTGTTGGATTATTTCTACTTTCATGGAAGTAACATGTCTTGCTAATGTTAAGTTTAATATTAGTGTCTGTATTATTCACTCCATGTTTGTTGTCAAACAGCAATAAACAAACAAGTAAATACAGTTTAAAATGTGCACTTATTTACTATTCTTTATGAGGTGAAAGAATTGCCGAAGAAATTTCTTCTTCAGATGATACTGTGTATTATCAAATACCTGTCACTACTCTACAACTAAGTATGAATTCCTCTTGAGGTCTGCATAAATGGAAATTCTGTTCTTTACGGATGAAAAATAAGCAAGAAGGAATGTAGGAAACATACAACTCAATTGGTAGTAGATGTCTGCTGATGCTCTGCAGGTTTCTGCAGCTGTGACACTACAGATTAAGTAGTCATTCAAACATTAGATTCTGTATGCCATATGTATCCATTTCCAGACATAAGTACAATGTCCTGTAGCACTACAGGAGGTAAATACATTGGGTACATTTGTGATCTTTGAGAACTGGATGAAGTGTTGACCATGAATAGGAGCTAGCAATTTCAATACACAAACAGAACAATGTGAGAGAGAGGACAGCAAGGCAATCATATGGGCAAGAGGGAAGAAGAAAGAAAAGGAAAGAAAAACGGGGAAGAAAAAAAAAGAACATCCCTCTCCCTCCCCCCCCAGCAAACTAACAAACAAAAAACACAGATAAAATACTGCATACGCAGCAAGGGAAGTCTCATGGGGGACTTCAGCTTCCCAGGTGTCTGCTTGAAATACAGTGCAGTAAGGAGGAAATGGTCTGAGAGACTACTGGGGTGTGTGGACACAGGTGGTGAGGGAAGAAGCAAGGGAAGGTGCCCCATGTTATAAGTTGCCCCCTTAATTAATTTTCGGAGAGCATTGCATTAATAATAGAAAGGAATTTATTAAGTAAGCAACAGCAAGCAAAACAGCACTGGGCGGCCGGGGAGTCTCGGCTCCGCCAACGGCGCACACATCACCTCCCGCCAGGGTCCCTTTTTATATCTTGGTGATTCCAGGATTACGCAGCACATCCTGGTATATTCTGCGACTGCGCACACTGTTGCTAGGGGGTCGTCTCTGTCCTGGTGGTTGTGAAGATGAAGGCCATAGTCTTCCTCGGCGTTGTGGTTCAACTTCTTTTTTTATTTGGTCATGTTGGCCCAGCATGAGACAGGAAGGCAGGATGTTGATACACTAGGTTAGCAACTTATCAGGAGATGGTTACATGAGCTTTGCAGCAGGGTCTTTGAACAAAAGAGGCAACTGAGATGCAGAAGGAGAGAAGGGGAGGGGGTTCTCTTTTTTGTTACATTAAGCAAAAGAATTTTCATAGTGTCTAGCCAAGCATTATACAGCTCCTTAATTCAGCAGGGAGCTTTTGCAACTCCCGCTCCTCCAACGGAACTCCTTGTTTTTATAATGCAAAAGACAACGAACAAACATTTATTATGTATTACAGCAACCATTTATGTTTGTTCACCGCCACAACCGCCCCCGCCGGCCGCCTCGCCCCGCGACATGGCGGCGCTCCCGCGCTGCACGTAGGGCGGGCGGACCGGGCCGGGCTGGCGGGCGGGCGGCGGCCCTCCGGCGGCGGCCCGCGGTGATTTTTGATCCCGGCCGGACCCCGTACCGCCCGGCCGGGCGGAATAAACAAACCCGGCGGCGCCCCGCCTCTCCCCTTTATATCCCCCCCTTCCACCTCAGGCGGCGCGGGCCCGGCCGCGGACCGTTCCCCGGCGCTGCGGGCAGTTAGAACCGGGCCGTTGCGGGCTGCGGCCGGACCGCGTCCCTCACGGCGCCGCCGCCGCCTCAGCGAGCGTCCCGGCTGTCGCCCGCCTGCACCACCTGCCCTGCCCTGCCCTGCCCTGCCCTGCCCTGCCCTGCCCTGGGGAGAGGTGAATAAAAAGCTCCCGGCCGCGAGCAGCGCTCGGAGTTTCCCCGGGACGTGCCCCGGCTGGGCTGCCTCGGCTCGCTGCCGCCGGGCGTTGGGCGGCTCCTGGGGCAGGAGGCCGGGTGTGAGCTGGAAAACGCCGTCAGGCAGCAGCTGCGAGCTTAATAAATGCCCTTTAATCTTTGGGGTTTTTTTTAGGGGTGGGAGGGCTTCAAGGGGGGTTCGTGGGTCAGCCAGCGTCCTGCGAGCAAACCGGTGGCTGTTACATTTTAACGGTGCACCTCAACTGGGTTTGTTTTTTTTTTTCCTTTTTTTTTTTTTTTCCTGAAGTTCTTCCTCAAAAAAAAAAAAAAAAGTTATTTATTCCGGTGAATTCCCTCACAACCTGTTCGCCCTCTAAACCGCCAGGCTCGCTGCCTGCCATGTGCTCGCCGCTGCTGCGGGTTGGAGCGGGTTCCCGAGGCAGGGTGTGTGGGGCTGGGAAGCTGCTCCTGGAGCTCTGGGGCGAGCTGGTGGCTTGGTCCTAAGTGATTTTAAGGGTTTAGAGCGTTTTAAATAGAGTATCTTGATAGCCTTTGATCAGATGGCTTAAATAAAGGTTATTAAAAGTGAGAAAGCTGATCCCGCTGGGTGGATCAAAGCTTCCTGTAAACGCGCTGATAAGGATTAAATAGTAGATGGGGCTTGCCGTGATGAAGTGTACAAACAGCCAAAGATCAATACTGTCGTGTGCAGGCAGCGCGAAGGTTGGTCGGTGCCAGCAGAGGATGGACATGCTCTTTCAGTTATTGTGTATCTTGGTGGTGTTTTAGGTTTACCAGCGAGTGCTGGGA